CACGGGTTTCAGTGTACCCTTAAATGGCCAGTGTCCATGCTTTCTGCCTTTGACAAGGGGGCACGGGTTTCAGTGTACCCTTAAATGGCCAGTGTCCATGCTTTCTGCCTTTGACAAGGGGGCACGGGTTTCAATGTACCCTTAAATGGCCAGTGTCCATGCTTCCCCAGTTGTTGGGTAAATAATTCTTCTACACTTTTTTTTTTTTAAATCTGGATAAACAGGTCCATATGTTGCATTCGGTCACTATTTGTCTTTAGTCTTTATTCTTCTGTAGGTTCAGCTTTCCTCTGTTGTTTTTCCTTGCAATGAAACCAAGTACGGTGTTGGTTCTGTTGGATCTCTGGGGTAGTACCTACCGTGTTTCTCAGTCCCCAGATTTTCTATAAGCTGGTTGTTAAATTGAGAAACTCAAACAACCAACTATTAAATTACAAGTCCTATGTGTGCCGAAGACTAACTGGGTATGTTACCGTGTCTGTACACAGCCAAGCCTATTGCAGACTCCGTTTGGTATAGTCAAGCTGCATGTGGTAGACTTCTCTCCTTTCTGACTTCCTGCCTTGCTCATTTGAAAAGACTGACTGAGATAATAAATCTGGAAATGCTATTAAAACAAAATGAGTTTTCTTGTAGTTTTAATTTTTTACTTAAAATGAGAAAAGTAAGAATATTGAAGGCGTTGAAGAGGTCATGCCGTTATTCTTAAACCATTTTGTCTGTTTCCTCTAGCCTTTGTCAGTATTCAGAGTTGTTGATGTAAATATAAAATAGATGCTCACACTCACACTGTTGTAATCACGGGCGTCCTGGTGACAGCACTTACCAGCGGCAAATCACAGGAAGCATGTAGTACAGTCTGCTGTTTTCACTGAGTATTATTTAGGACGATTTCCATATTGTTGCATAAACCCAGTGCTGTCCAGCCGGTCTCCGCTCACTGTGACCATATAGGGCAGAGTAGAACTCCCCCATGGACCGTCCAAGGCTCTGAGGCTTTAGGGAAACAGACTGTAAGATCTTTCTCCTGCAGAATGACTGCTGGGCTCAAACCACCAAGCTTTCTGTTAGCAGATGAGCACTTTAGCCACTGTGCCACCAGGGTGCATTCTTGTTACATGTTGTGGTTAAGTGCCACTGAGTTGTCCCTGTGTCAGGCTTCTGAGGAACGGCTGGTAGGTTTGAACTGCCGATGACCTTGTGTTAGTAGTCCACTGCTTATCCTACAGTGCCACAGCCAGGACTCCTGGTGTTCATAGTCGTAGGGAGAGCATGTCATCCCTCTGTGAAGTGTCCACGCCATCCCCCTGCTACTGAGCATTTCATCCCTCCATGAAGTGTCCATGTCATTCCCCTGCTACTGAGCATTTATTTTTCCTACATTTTTTACATTAGCGCGTATGTTATCTTCATAAATGCCACTATTTAAATTCTCAGGATCTACATTATTAGGAATGTAGATGATGTGTTTGCTTTACAGAGAAATTATAAAGCCCTTGATTTCAGGACATGTCACTTTCTAGAACTCCCACTTTACCCCCCACCCCTACTCAGTATCGTCTCTGTAACCCACTGCGGCCAAGTGTATGCCGACTCATGGAGAACCTCTACTGGCATTTAGGAATCCTGGTGTGGCACTGTGGGTTAATGCACTGGACTGCAATGT